ACACAAACACTCCATCCATGCTTTTATTCCGGCCCTCCGGTCCAGTTTAAGAACCCATTGTGGCCCTCGAGTCAAAAAGTTTGCCCACCCCTGTACTAGAGTAACTATAGAACTTATCATTCAAGTCAGGACACTTTTGAGAGTGAAATGGGACACTTTTAATAATTATGCCAGGACAAAGGCATAAATTGGAACTATCCTGGGAAAACTGGAAAGTATGGTCAACTGAATAGTAGGGGGGTTTGAAAGTATTTTAAATTATTGATTATAGATTTTTATAAGTAGTCACATCTCTGAGTCATTAATATAAATATAAATTTATTGCTTTATAATTTCATATTTAAAAATTTTATTGAGGCACCTTTAAAGTTATGGTGGCCTAATTGCTAGTACAACCTTGACATTGTCTTTTTATGGAAGAATTGTTTTAGGATTAATATTTTTTAAATACCAATTTTAAAGATAAAGTTCTTTTTTGGTGAGTAAAATGAGGCTATCACCAGTACATAAAATTTTACAGTTTAAAATATTTTAATTATTTTTTCTTTATATTATTTATGTGTGTATTTTACCATCAGCAACTATAACTTAAGACAAGAAATTCATGTGTTTTATGTCTTGTATTTGGCTTAATTTTTTTAACCTACTTACTTTTTCTTTGGGATTAATAAATAACCCTTATCCATAGAGGATATATTCCAAGACCCCAGTGGATGCCTAAAACTGTGGATAGTATATAACCCTATATATACTGTACTATTTTCTATACCTACATACCTATGGTAAAGTTTAATTTATAAATTAGGCACAGATAAAGATTAACAACACTAATATTAAGTGGAAAAATTATAACAATATACTATAATACAAGTTATATGAATGTGGTTGCTCTCTCTCTCATAACCGATATGATAACTGAGAGGGCTATTGAGTGACTAATGGTGTACCATGGTTTTGAGTAGTAATTGTGTTTATTTGTCTTATTCCAATATTAGTTCTGTTCGTGCACAAAATTTTATTGGAGTTTCACCTAAATTAATGAAATGTCAGGAAATAGTTTCTAACTTCTAGATAATTTTTCTGTATTGTAAGTTATAGGTTGGAATAAAAAGGTATCAAAGTCCAGTATGCTTGAACTACCTGGAACCTTTGAGGAATGAATCAACCCAGACAACAGTTTTCCAGATTCTTTTACCTTTCAACACTTAACAGGATTAATGTCCGGTGTCTCTAAAGGAAAAATTTTCTTTAAAAGTATTTTCTTGTTTTGAGTGTCAACATTTGTTTTATGTAACAATGTTAGTTAATTATTTTAATATATATTTTACATTGCCTATCTGTACTTTATACTCATATGGTAGAAAATTTTTCTGGTATGAAAGCAAATATAGTACAAAGCCATCCCTGTCTCCTTGCCCATTCTCCTCATAACCAGTTTTTTATCAGTATTTTGTACATCCTTCCGGATCTGCATTTGCAGATCATTATTTATATACTAGAGACCTGATGCACAAAATTCATGCAAGAGTAGGCCTTCGCAGCCCCGCCTGCCTTGCGGCCCTGCCCCCCACCCACTGGTCATTCTGGAAGGTCTTCTGCCATCCGGTCTAGTTAGCATATTAGCTCTTTATTATATAGGATATTCTTTTTTCTTTTCACACAATGGTAACACCATACACAATTGTGTTCTTTGCTTTTTCACTTTGTATTTTGGAACTTATTCCTTGTCAGTACATAAAGAGCCTTACTCACTTTTTACAACTGCACAGCATTCTATGTTATAAGGCTTCTACTAATAACATTTTTATTGTTTAGAATTATTTGCTGTTCATACAGTGCTTGATGAATAGCTTCATAACATACCACATTTTGCACATGTGCAACTCAATTGGCATGAGTGTGTATGTCCTTCCTAGAAGAGGAATTCCTGGATCAGAGTACATCATGAATACTTGAATGCATAAAAATGTGTTTGTTTTTATTTAGTCTAAAGGTAATACATCTTTTTTTTCTGATTTTATTTATTTTATTTATTTTTTAATTAAATCTTTATTGTTCAGATCATTACATTTGTTCCTCTTTTTTCCCCCCATAACTCCCCTCCTCCCAGTTCCTGCCCCACCCTCCGCCCTCACTCCCCACCCACTGTCCTCATCCATAGGTGCACGATTTTCGTCCAGTCTCTTCCCGCATCTCCCACACCCCTTTCCCCCCCAAGAATAGTCAGTCCATTCCCTTTCTATGTCCCTGATTCTATTATAATCACCAGTTCATTCTGTTCATCAGATTATTTATTCACTTGATTCTTAGATTCACTTGTTGATAGATGCATATTTGTTGTTCATAATTTGTATCTTTACCTTTTTCTTCTTCTTCCTCTTCTTAAAGGATACCTTTCAGCATTTCATATAATACTTGTTTGGTGGTGATGAACTCCTTTAGCTTTTCCTTATCTGTGAAGCTCTTTATCTGACCTTCAATTCTGAATGATAGCTTTGCTGGATAAAGTAATCTTGGTTGTAGGTTCTTGGTATTCATCACTTTGAATATTTCTTGCCACTCCCTTCTGGCCTGCATAGTTTCTGTTGAGAAATCAGCTGACAGTCGTATGGGTATTCCCTTGTAGGTAACTGAGTTTCTTTCTCTTGCTGCTTTTAAGATTCTCTCTTTGTCTTCTGCTCTTGGCATTTTAATTATGATGTGTCTTGGTGTGGTCCTCTTTGGATTCCTTTTGTTTGGGGTTCTCCGCGCTTCTTGGACCTGTAAGTCCATTTCTTTCACCAGGTGGGGGAAGTTTTCTGTCATTATTTCTTCAAATAGGTTTTCAATATCTTGCTCTCTCTCATCTTCTGGCACCCCTATAATTCTAATGTTGGTACACTTGAAGCTGTCCCAGAGGCTCCTTACACTATCCTCGCATTTTTGGATTCTTTTTTCATTTTGCTTTTCCGGTTGGGTGTTTTTTGCTTCCTCGCATTTCAAATCATTGACTTGATTCTTGCGCTCCTCTGGTCTGCTGTCGGGAGTCTGTATAATATTCGTTATTTCAGTCCATGTATGCTTAATTTCTAGTTGGTTCCCCATCATAACATCAAGGGTCTCATTAGTTTTCTTGTAGATCTCATTAAGTTTATCGGTGGCTTCTAAACAGTTCTTGAGAGACCTTAAAAGTGTGGTTCTGAACTCTATATCTTCCATTGACAATTTTGTCCTGTTTCTTTGTCTCCGCATTTTGTTATGCTTTCTTAGTGCACCCCCTAGTGGTCTTTGTGCGCAGTCTTGTAGTTAAGCCTTGATTGTTGTAGCTAATACCAGGGAGGGTTTGACCTCCAGGCCAAGTGGCTGTGAGAATCAGCTGTGTCTGCAGTGAGAGAACTTCTGTCCTCTAGGGAGGTGCTAATCTAGCCTTTGCCTGAGGCTATCCGGCAAATGCCTCTGTGCAGGGCTTGGGCGGGGCGGGTCGCACAGGATCAACAGGGTGGGCCGGAGAGAGCAGTTATGGCGGCTCTCAGTCCTGTCCCCAGGGGCTCTGCCTCTCTGAGTCCCAGCAACCGCTGCAAACCTCGGAGAGAAAGCTGCACTCGCTCTGACCGAAGCCAGACAGTCCCGCTTCTCCTGTTTGAGTCTGGGTCCCTAAAGACTCGCCCGTATCTGGAGCTCAGAGTCTGCGACTCCCTCCCGATTGAAAACGCCAACCGCGCCCTCCGCCGCCAGCCCGCTCCGTGCAGTCCGCACCTCAGAATTTGACTTCAGCACTGCGCCTCCTCTGAGTGTCTGTATGCGTTTCTCTTTCCTCCTAGTTGTAGGACTTCCACTCAGCCAGCGTTCCTGTGGTTCTGGGTGATGTCCATTCCGTCTTTTAGTTTCACTTTTGAAGTAGTTATTCAAGGCAGCAAACTCCGGCGTTAACCTATGCCGCCATCTTGGTTCTCCATAAAGTCTTTAAAGGTAATACATCTTTGTGGTTAAAAACTTAAAGACATTTCAAAAATTACTGAAAAAATAAAATTAAATTCTCCAAGCTCCTCCTCCCACTTCCCAGATGTAACATTTTCTTGTCTATCTTTCCTATAGTTGCCAATGTGCCTATTTTTTTCTTTTTTATACATAAATGGTTGTATGGTATCCCATTATATGTATATGCCACCATTTATCCATTACATTACTCATTGGGGAACATTTAGGATGTCTCTGGATCTTTTGTGATACTACCAACAAAGCCGCAGTGAAAAACCTTGTAGATATCTTTGCATGCATGTGGATGTGATTCTAGATTCCTAGAATCAAGGAATACATGCCTTTTAAATTTTGATTAGTTTTGGTAAGTGCTCTCCAAAAAGATAGTTTTATTTGATCCTTCCATCAGTATATCCTTGCTGACACTATTATCAAACTATTTAATTGTTGCCATTTTAGTAAGGGCCAAAAAGGGATCCTACTGAATTTACTGTATTATGATTGATTTTGATAAGTTGGCCATTTCTGTTTATTTTCTGTATATTACTATTTATTCTCTTCACCCATTTTTCTGATGAGTTGTTCACTTTGTTATGATTTGTAAGTGTACTTGCCTACTAGGAAATTAGTCTGCGGTCATGTATGTTACAAATATTTTTTCTCAGGTTTTCATCTTTTGCCATGTGTTTGGTCTATAAATACACATAATTTGACCCTAAAGAGATGAGGGGAAGGTAGCAAGTGGTAGGAGTGAGTTAGTGGGGGATTCAGATCAAACTACTAAACCTTTTAAATAAAAATATATATAGTATACCTGAAACTAATATACTGTTATATGTCTGCTGTACCTCAATTTTTAACAAATGTTCCATATCAAACTATTTAAAATAGTTTTTAAGAAAAACATGACAGATGATATAGTGCTTTTATCTTCTTAGAGGAAAGGAGATCTAAATAAATAAAAGATTGTACAATATTTAATTTGTATGAGGTCTACTAACCATGCTGCAAATACATTTGTTTTTTTATATTTTTCCCTCCAGAGGTTTTGTCAGCTATGATTAGTGTGCTGTTGGTGTATATACTTATGGCATTTCTCCTATATGAAGCTGTCCAAAGAACTATCCATATGAACTATGAAATAAATGGAGATATAATGCTCATTACCGCAGCTGTTGGAGTTGCAGTCAATGTAATGTAAGCTCGATGTTTTTTTAAAAAATTTAACTGGCTTTATTCTGTAGAGCAGTTTTAGGTTCACAGCAAATTGAGGGGACTGTACAAAGATTTCCCACATACCCTCTGCACCCACACATGCATAGCTTCCCCCATTACCAGCATCCCTCACTAGAGTGGTACGTTGTTATAGCTGATGAACCTGCACTGACACATCAGAATCACCCAAAGTCCATAGTTTATATGGTTCACTCTTGGTGTTGTACATTAATGGGTTTGGACCAATGTATAATGACATGTATCCAACATTTAGTAGCATACACTCTACGTTGTTTTCACATGAATAGTCTCAAATACTGTGAACTTAGAGGCTATACATGCATTCAATAATATGCAGTGATATTTTAATATATTTATAAATTATATAGTACATCAGTTTTTCTTATAAGTATTAATAAAACACTGTTGGAATTATAAATTCCTCATTGGTTTGTTCAGGTATACTGAAGTTTGACTAACAATCAGAAATTTAAGTAGGACAAAATTTTTTAATTTCATTTTTATAGTACTTTCATTTTGAGATTTTTTTTAACAACCAACTTTTTTTCCTAAAAACATGAAGTTTTTAAGTTAAATACTCAATCATTTGAATCAGGGGTCAGTAAACATTTTCTGTAAAGGGCTAGATAGTAAATATTTAGAATTTTAGAGCCATACAGTCTCTTTCTCAGCTACTCTGCTATTTAAGAACAAAAACAGTCCTATTCAGTATGTAAACAAAAGAGCATGGCTGTGTTCCAATAAAACTTTATTTACAAAAAAAGGCTATGGGCCAGATATGGTTTGTAGACCATGGTTTGCCAGTCCCCATCTAGTGGCTTCTATTCTATACTTAGAATAAAATCAAAAGTCCTTACCATGGCCTTTTAATATTATCCTGTGTACCACTCCAACTCATGTCCTAGCACTCTTGCTGACTTTATTCTAGCCACAGTGGCTGTCTTGCCTTTTTTAAAACACATAGAGCACCTTTGCATCCAGGCCCTTTACCCTGGTATTCCTTCTGCTAGAACACTCTTCCACCATAACTTGCTTCCTGGCTTCATTCAAGTCTCTGCTCTGATGGAATCTAAGGGAGGCCACTCTCCCCATCACTCTCCATCACTAGCAACGCTTTACTTTTCTTCAACGCCTCCCCATCGTCTAGCAGTACATTAGGGATTTATTTGCTAACTGCTCTGCCTTCCGTACTAGAACATAAGCTCTAAGGGGATAGGGATCTGTCTCAGTCACTCTTTTGACCCCAGCACCTAAAATAGTACCTGATACAGAATAGGTGCTCAAATATTTAGTAAATATTGCCTCTATCATATCTGATTAGTCATAGATAGTTTATCAATAGAATAGGATGAATAATAATGTTTTGTTTTGTTTTGTTTTTTTAACAGAATGGGGTTTCTGTTGAACCAATCTGGTCACCATCATGCCCATTCCCACTCCCTGCCTTCAAATTCTCCTACCACAGGTCCTGGGTATGGGCACAACCATGGGCAGGATAGCTTGGCAGTGAGAGCTGCATTTGTACATGCTTTGGGGGATTTGGTACAAAGTGTCGGTGTGCTAATAGCTGCCTACATCATACGATTCAAGGTACTATGATTGCTAATTTTTTTATTTTAAAATATATTTAATTTCAACATTAAAACTAAAACTGATTGGCCCTGGCCAGTGTGCCAAGTGGTTAGAGCATTGGATAGAGCACCAAAGGGTGGCAGGTTTGATACCCTGCCCGGTGGGAGCATGTGGAGGAGGTAACCAATTAATGTGTCTCTCTCATATCAATGTTTCTCTCTCTCCCTCCCTCCCTGTAGTCTTCCCTCCCTCCTATCTAAAAGTTGATGGAAAAAATATCCTCGGGTATGGATTAATTTAAACAAGAAAAAACGAACTGATTGTCTTTCATCAGTATACTGGACACCAGTGCCGCTCCTATTCATTTTGCACTTATGCAAACCTAATTGAGCCACCAGGCTATATAGCTCTTTTGCTAGCACTGAACACCATAGTATCACATCACGAGGTAACTTACCTGTAACTGACAGGTACTAGAATGTGGATGTAGTGAAGTCCAGAGATCTGGGTTCTAGTATTGGCTCTGCCACTAATGCTTTGACCTTGAGCAAGTCCCTCAACTCAAAATTTGAGTTCCCTCCTCTTTAATATGAGGGGCTTAAATCCAATTGATGACTGCTAAGACTCCTCCTAGCTCTGATGTTCTATGGTTCTGGGCAGACGATTTAGAGAAGGCACAGAGGAAAAGAACAGAACAAACCATTAAACTGCTGAAAATGGTCCCACGAGGAAAGGCATTTAAACAACCCAGGAAAGAATTCTCAGATGCAGTGTCCTGGTCCCAGAGGTATTCTGCAGTCCTGCTAGAGGACAGGGGGCAGAGTATTCCTTAGTTTGCCTTACAGTCTGTTATATGTCTGTCAATATTTAACCACACAATTTTGATCTGTCACTTCACAGCCAGAATACAAGATTGCTGATCCCATCTGTACATATGTATTTTCATTACTTGTGGCTTTTACAACATTTCGCATTATATGGGACACAGTAGTTATAATACTAGAAGGTAAGATCTCCTTAATATCCCCATTGTGGATGTATTCCTAAGTCAGATTGCGGGTCAGGGAAGACTCTGGGGTAGGAGCCATGTCTTTTCTTGTTTTTATTGATGCTTACTAGGCTACAGTTACACCACCTTACATGTATAGGACGTATAAGAATCCATGCACTCTCCCATATGTTACCTATTTGATCCTTATAATAGCTAAGAAAAGTAGGTAAGGCAAACGTTATTATCCCCATTTACCAATAAGAAAATTGAGGTTCAGAGGGGTAGTATAACTTGATTAAGGCCATGCTGTTACTCAATTACAGAACTAGGACAAGAATGCAGCTTTTTGATTCTTAATGCAAGTATGTGTAGCAGTTTATTAATTTACTAGAGGCCCGGTGCACGAAATTCGTGCATTCAGAGGAGGAGGTCCCTCAACCCGTCCTGTGCCCTCTCACAGTCCAGGAGCCCTGAGATCGGTTGCCCCAAAGAGGTAGGCCGCGCCCACCACCGCAGCCCACCAATCGTGGCCTGGGTCTCTCTCGGGGCGATCATGGAGCCTCCCGATTGATCACCCCGCTGGCCGGTGGCCTGGGCCTCCCTCTGCAAGGTGATCATGGGGTGATAGCCGGGCCCCTGACCAATCGCATCGCACCTGCCTTGGCTGGCCTGGCGCCAGCGGGTGTCATAATGTGGTAGTGCGGATGGTCCTTCTGCTGTTTGGCTGTTTGGTTGATTTGCATATTACACTTTTATTACTATAGATTAATTTCAATTTAACTTGCTGCTTTGTTATATTTTCAGCATTCCTGCCTTACCAATATTACATATAAGCATGGAAATATAAGTTCTCAACACTAGTTTAGCCATCATTGGATGTTCCTTTCTTTTTATTTTTTATTATCCTAGCTTATTTGTTAAATGAAGTAGCCTGGGCTGGTTAACCTACCTTTTTAGTGAGAATGAACATTTTTAAGGTATTTATTAACCTTTTGTGTATATCCTACTATATGTGTGCATGGTTTATCTTAAAATATTAATATATTTTATTAGAAAGTATTCATTTTAAAATGAATTTAACAAAGCTAGTTGTCTGTTTGTTTGTTTGTTTGTTTGTTTGTTTTCGGGGGGGAAGACCCACCAGTAATTTATAACTTTTTCCCCTAAGATAAATTTTACTTATAAATGATATATTCTGAACTAATAGGTGTACCAAGGCATTTGCACGTTGACTATATCAAAGAAGCCTTGATGAAAATAGAAGATGTCCATTCCGTGGAAGATTTAAATGTCTGGTCTCTCACTTCAGGAAAGCCCATGGCCATTGCACACATACAGCTAAGTATGTTGCTGTTGGTAAATACTGGGGTTGGTGGACTTCTGTCTTTGGGATTAAACATCTATGCTTATAATTAAGTAGGAAGACTTCTGGAAAGATTTGTTTTAAGGGAGGGTGTGGGCTCTTCAAAAGATGAGTTGCAGGTTGATGTTTATAGCAGAGCAGTAATTTTTATCCCTTTGGGATGAGATGAAACACAGATTTTTGCCTTCAGATTAAATGTACTGCGTGTATTTACCATGCTTTTTCTACATAAGGAAAGCTAGAGCCTGTGTTTTTTCTTTAAATCATTTCACAGATCGATGCTTTTATTTGATTTTTTGATCAAAATAGTAAATGCATGAGTTTTATTTTTTAAAGTACAAAAGATGAGCCCTGACCTGCTTGGCTCAGTGGATAGAGTATCGGCCTGTGGACTGAAGGGTCCCAGGTTCGATTCCAGTCAAGGGCATGTACCTGGGTTGTGGGCACATCCCCATTGGGGAGTATGCAGGAGGCAGCTGAATCGATGTTTCTCTCTCATTGATGTTTCTAACTCTCTATTCCTCTCCCTTCCTCTCTGTAAAAATCAATAAAATATATATTTTTTAAAAAGTACAAAAGATGAAAGACTTGTAATTGATGTTTAGATTTCTTTCTCTACCCAAAAGTGGACTGGAGAGAGAGGGATAACGAGAAGCTGATCTGGCTTGGCAAACGGACACACTGCTCTCACAATAGCTTCAGGAGGGTAGAAATCAAACTAGTAAAAATATGTTCAGAGCATACTAAGGTTGTTTTCTCCCTGGGTCATATTCACTAATGTGTAATGTACAATGAATAGTAACGATATTTTCTTGATACTGCAGTTCCTGGAAGTTCATCTAAATGGGAGGAGGTACAGTCCAAAGCCAGGCATTTGTTGTTGAACACATTTGGCATGTATAAATGTACTATTCAGCTTCAGAGTTACCGGCAAGACGTGGACAGAACTTGTGCAAACTGCCAGAATGCCAGCTCCTAACTGAAGATGTCTGGGGGACTACTGCCTTATTTACCCTGCAGTCACAGACGAGAGCAATAAATGCACTTGAACGGGAGAATGGAATTCCTGAGAGCCGTGCCCAGGCACTGGCCTCGCAGTCAGCCTGAGAGCGCTAGTTTCTGTCCAATGGTAAAGTGAGACTTCACCATGATTTTCAGATGAAGATGTTTCCAAAACAGTTTACAGAATGAGACGTGACTCTACAGATACCTCAGAGAAGACAATCGAAGACCGTACTTCACAATCAGCAGAGCATGTGTCATGAAGGAAGCATCAAGAGTTCTGTATTTGCATTTAAAAATCCTTTTTAAAGCCCATTTCTATCAAGCCAGTGCTGGAAAACTGATTTTTTAATGTAATCTTGATACCCAGCTTCTGGAATTTGACACCCAGCTCTCTCTTTTTACAGAAATTATTTCTCAGCAGATTTCAGAAAGTACTAGTAATTATCCAGAGTGGAATAAGCATGTATTCCTAAATGTTTCAGAAATGTTTTATTTCACAAGTAAGTCTTATTGGTATTATTATACTTTATAAACAAAATTTTCCAGATATTACAGGGTTTTGAATCTCAATTTTTGGTTATTTGTAATCTTATCAGAACCCCATCTTTATGTATTGTGGTCACTGTCATTAAATTGCTTAGGAAATATTTTCAGTTTATTCTGAATGGCAGAAGTTAATCTTAAACTGGAATTACTATATGATAATTTGAACAAATATAGGAGCAGGGATGGGGTATGGAGTTTCAGATTTAAGTCTTTCTGAAATCACTTTTATTGTCCATGGAATTTATCTTTGCTTATGAACAGCAAGCGACGCAAAATGCAAACAGTGATGCTCTGTCCTTTTAGAAATTGCCTTATGTTTTGTACAGAAAGTTTGCTTGGTACCTTGCTTCCTGCCTCCATACCAGGTCATCTGCTTGTGCCTTTCAGGGTAGAGCTCTAGAGGGCCATGGTTCAGTTTAATACCCGTCTCTCCCATGCAGATTAACTACATTTCTCCAGAGAGAATTTCTGTGTGATGACATGGATTAGGAATCCTCCACGGGCTCCAGAAACCCTAAGATATAATTTTGAGGTTTTCCAATAATACCATAGCAGAAATGCTGAAAGGGATTGGGGGAAGACATGATTTTCAGAAGACAAAAATTTTAAGGGTTTTGGAGTGTGTGTGTGTGTGTGTGTGTGTGTGTGTTAAAGCACTGGAATAGGATGGATGGACATTAAATCTGTGTGGTAGGGAAGTTAAGCATAAAAGTTTCCAAACAGAAGGCAACCTAACGTAACAGTTGTATTAAAGAGGCAACTGTGAATATTCCTGTCAACTGTTGGTTTTGGGATTATATTTAGTGCACGTTAGGGAGTCCATTTTCAGCAGAGAATCAGGATAAAGTAACATGTACCAGACAGGCTGTGAGATGAAATCCTAGATAGGCAGGCCAATGACTTAAAATGTAAGTGAAGAATATGAAACAGATTTCATCTTTCTGCCAAGGACCTCACTATAAGTAAACCTAAGGTAAAACCTGGATTCACCTAAAAGATTGTTAAGCGTCAATGGTGTCCAACAAAAGTTTTAGTGAGTGTTAATAGTACCTAGTAAAGCCCAGCATTTGTTGAATTGAATTGAAAATTTTATAGGATTCTTACTGTAAATCCATTTAAAATAATGATTTTAATTTTTCAAAAATTTTAGGAACATATAATAAAAAATACTCCTTTATTATATAATGTCCTGTATTTCAAAAAATACTTGTAAATGTAGAAGGCAAGTGAGAATAAACAAGAAGCATGTCAGTGCCCATCTGGGCATTTATGACTTTGGGCGCCTAGCAGAGGAAGGAAGAGAATGTGCCTGTGCTAATAGGTTTCTCCACATTTGCAGCTGTTCCCATATCTACTGAGCTCGTTTCTTGTAAACTTTCTTTTATCTTAAATAGGTTTATCTAACTTTTCACATCGACCTGTTCCTTGAAAAGTTATTGAGTAAAACAGTCTGAAATCTACTTGAGGATTGAAAAGGATCCTTTTGGATAATGGAGAAACACTGACAACTTTTGTAAATCTTAATTATTTTCTGTTTAAAATTAGGTACACATGAAGTTTTCTGTGCTTTGTTGTTTTGTGGGGGTTTTTTTGCAGCAACTACAGATTTTATGCTTGTATTTTACTGGATCTGTGAGATTTGATAATTGATAGATTTAACTCTTTGTAACTTGACAAAACCCATAGAGAAGGATGTGAACTTAGCAGATGGGAGCAGGGGCTGCACAGCGTCTGACAGAGACACAGAGAAAGAGCCATCCCTTGTCCTGTGAAAAGCACAGCTGAGCCTGGATTAACACCTACCATTGTTCACTTTGCACTGGGAAAACATCATAACAAAAACTGGGCAGTCTTCAGTGCGATGTGTTTTTATTAACATTTGCAAATAATCAAAGTTGTGTACATAAACCTGTGTTTCACAAGTCTGGCCAGACTAGCCTTTTGATTTATCTTAGGAAAAGGCCTATTGTTTCGTTGATGACTGTACTGCCTTAGAAATACACCGTGGGGAATGCAGTTGAATAAGCATATTTCAGAGAGCTTTGAAATGCAGAACCAAAATTACGTCATTCCCACATGCATTTTCCATTAGCTCTGCCTGTGGAGCATGAGCCCAGATTTTCACACCTGCGGCTCCCGTCAGTATTATTTGCCAGCTCACTGGGTTTCTTATCTTTCTGTTTCTTTTTCAACTCTGGATGCCATATTTCCATTTCTGAACCGAAGTTTCCTGCTCTTAGGAGTCTCAGTGTTCTAGTTCTGTCTCTTGAACCCAGAGGTCCTCACTGACAGTGTTAATCTTTGGTAGAATTTTCCCAGAATAAACAGACATCAGCTTCCCTTTCTTTTTAATGTGAGAAAAAAACATCTTTCAGAAACACAGCACCATTTTAAAGATGCTTCAGGGTGGGAAAAACCATTTTTCCAACAGCTGATTGTTCTGATTCAGAATCTCTGCACACAATGCGGGCGGGAGAAACAGCACACTGCAGACATGAGTGAAGGTCATCGCTAATGAGGTGCCGGCCTGTGCTGCTTGAACTCCCACGCCCACTCCTGTGGAAGGGAGACTCGCTCACTTCTGAAACAAGCACAGTCAGCTAAATTTATTTTCTTTTTATGCATTTATGTTCATTGTTTCGTCATAAGGAATGAGGTGTTCTTAGAGAAACTGAGCCCCTTTAGTACAAGGTTTTAGGCAATTTTTCTGCTTACTGTACTTTTCATACAGTAATTTAAAGGTACAGACTATCTTCCTAAGTATAAGATCAGTTCATTTGGTTCAGTTTGTCTTTGAACCACGCTTCGCTCATGAGCCATCTGGGTAATAGTCACAAATGAAGTGACATTTCGCTATGCTGTGTTGAGGGGAGGCAAGTGTGATCTCCAAGTAACTGATTAAGCTTAATATCTTTCTAACCAAAATGCCTAACCGCAGATCTGTTATGTGAATCGCCAGGCAGGGCTTGAGACTTGTTTCACAGATTACCAGGCAGGGACATCATTTGTGGTGGTGGTGGGAGCACAGAAGTTGGAGGGGATAACTTGTGGGAGCTCCTCAGCATTGAATTGTGTGTATGCGTTCGGCCAGCCTGTCATCGAGTTCTGGCTGCAAAGGGGTTAACCTATTCTTCTAGTTATACTGTGAGGACCAACAAACAGTTTCTGATATCCAGTAAGATTGGAAAACATTTATGGGGACTTTCTCTGACAGTGTCAGTTTAAGTACTGCAATTACTTGTTTTCTGAAATAATTACAACAGAAAACTGGGATGTGCCAGTATGTCTGCTTTGCACCTGGAAGTTACTGTACATCTGGAAGGTGTGTGCTTCTCTAAATAGATGTTGCTGAGTAAGCCATATCACAGTGGAACAAGGCGTAGATACTCTTCCACATACCCCTTCAGAAACCAGTATTTTGCATATGATTGATTTTAGAACGATTTGGAAGCTGGTGTTTGTCCATGTAATTTAAAATCAAAGTATAGTATATGTACTGTATTTACAATTTTTAAATTGTAATTTCCTATGCCTTTATTAAATAAAGTATTGTTTTGCCATGTGGTTTATTAAAAATGAAAATGTACAGTTCCTTAAATTAATTCTGGGTTTCTATTGAGTAAGTCATAGTAGTAGGCCTCAAAACGTATCTTCTTAAAAAGCAATGGAAAATAGATGATAACCCATCCAGTTTTATAATCTCAGATTGTAATGCCCTCTTAGATGTTTAAGAAACAAGCCTGAAAAAAATCTCCCAAATAGGATAAAAAGATACTAAAGAACCTTCATCTTTTTGTTTTATATCAGTCACTTTTAATGTCCCACCAGCCCAGCAACAGCGACAGAAAGGAAAGAAAGAAGCCCCCAGAAAGTAAGATTGGTGAAGACACGGCCAAGTCCGAGAGCAAAGATCTAGTGTCTCTCCAAGAACGTAGATGGGGGGTCAGCAAACCTTACCTCACGGGCCAGGGCCAAAGCACTGAGAATGGATTTTACATTTTAAAATGGTTTTTAAAAATCAGAATAATAATATATTATGATGTGAAAATTCTATGAACTTTAAATTTCAATGCTGAAATCCCAGTTTGTCTGTGACCACTCAATTATGCCTGTTGTCCTGGCATAATTAACAACAGCATCTCCTTTTATTCTCAAAGTGGCCAGTTTATGATAATAAATGATGAGGTCACCCTAAAAAAAGAAGTCAGTGTCTGTCAATAAAATGTTAAACACAACCACTCATTCAGTTACGTGCTGTCTGGCCGCTTGCATGCCGCAGTAGCAAAGTTAAGTAGTTACAACAATATAAAGCGTGTACCATCTGTCCCGTCGGAGGAGAAGTTTGCCAACCCCTGGCGGAAGTCCCCTGTTGTACCCTTTGAGGCCTGGCAGCATATGCGGATGCAGCAAGCCCTTCGAGAGCCCACTTAGAAGCTGCTGAGACTGGTCCCTCAGAGGCTAGCTGAGTCACCGAAGGCTCTCTTCTTCCCTTTGATCCATTTTCTTGTCTTTATCCCCCTTGGAGTTTGGGCAGAAATACAGGAAAAGAGTAGCAAGTTTCAGATGTTACCTATGCACCATAAGCTGTATCTAATGTTCACTAGCAAAGCAGTTTTCTACCCAGAACAACATGATCAGAATCGTTTAACAATACTTTTCATCATAAAGTTTTATTCACTTGATTTTTAATTTTTTTACTAAAGTTATGACAAAAAGGAAATAAAAATGTATGTATGTTGAGTACCTTATGCAGTTTGTGCCAAGTGAAAGCTCACAAATGCAAACACTTTCTCTGCTAAGATGTTTGTGAAGTTTTTAAAAGAATGTTCTTAAAAGTTTTCCAGTTACCTAGGAAAAGACTCAACTATTTTTGAAAATAGTAATAAAATAAAGTTTTAAATAAGTTATTCTAGCAAATAAAGAGATGTTGCATATTGTTTATCTACTTATCTGCTTAGCTATATTTGTTTTGACGTGTCATTTTTTTGTGTCCATGTCAGATGCTAAAATAAATTCTAATTTGGGGCCACAGCCTTGCAAGCTCTTGTTTATGCTAAGCTTTCAGCTTTATTTAATGTTTTAGTAGGCTTACGTTTTTTATTATAATTCAGTTCCAACTATGATCTATTGTAATAGCTATACACTATAAAATAGACTAGACAAAGTATAAATAGGAAGTATGAAGCCTTATGACTAAATATCACCTCTAATCATGTGTTTAAGATTAGAAGGCTTAAAAATCCAGCCTCAATGAAATATCACCAAAAGATCTCATCATTTTAAAGCAGCATTCTGGTCAAGGCCCTCATGTGACTTTGAAAAAACATAAACTGTAAAATTTAGCCTATGAGTATTACCCAAAATACCTGAAGATTATACTCTGTAAGTTACCAGAGAGCTCTCATGTCTCCTGTCCTCGACTTTTCAAAAACTTGTTCTGATTAGACTTTCAAATTCCTGTTGTCTGTGTTTCACTTGCCAATTTCCACATATTGGTTTATGGGTTGTTGTTTTTTTAACATTTTTGGTCACTTTACCAAAATGCTGACACCATGGGAAAAAATTGTGGTTTTTTCCCCCAAAATATATAGAGCTACTTCTTGCTAAGAGAGTGTTTTTTGTTTGTTTTTTAAGTAGGAAATTTGTAGAGACCTCATGAAAGCAAGGCCAGTCCTAGACAAGCTGACACCTCTGTTCCCTCGACTGGCCTGGGACTGAACATCTGACCCCACCCTCCTCTCTCATCTTTGCCTCACTTCCTTTCCAGAGGAAAGACAGGTAAATGGTTATAGGGATGTTTGCCTCTGAACAGTGATTACAGTGAATGTGTGACCTCAGCCAAGGCTTGAAGATGTGAAGAGTTTCCTGCCCCTCCATTCATTAACCTATCACATTCACCTGTGAATGCTACAGGGCAAAGCCTAGTTCTAAAAGGCTCTTAATCAATTAAGCTTGACTGGAGTTTCAGAATAAACAGAATATAAGCCTATTCCATCCTCTCTGCTTCTTTTTTTTATGGCAAAGGTGGGAATTTATTGAGAAACAAGCACAGACTCCCGTGTGGGGAGGGGAAAGAGTCCCACAGTACAGACTCCCACTTGCTTTTTTTATGTAAGAATGTTTTCCAAAGCCCAGGATTGTTTTGAGCCCCTGTGAATAAACTATTACAGAATTTACAATGTTAACCATTGAATATATATATATGTTTATATATATAATATATATGGTATATATATATATATGTCATTCTTATCTTTAAAATACCATGATATTGAAATTGGGGACATCTCAGAAAGTTGGTTCAATGATTGAAAGTGGTTTTCTCTAAAGTGGACTGAGACTACTTCCAAATGCCATTCATTTTATCCAACCACTGAACATGTTATGGAATAAAACGCAAAATTCCTATGTATTTTTAAAATTAAATGGGAAATGAAATAATATTATGTTTTGGGGGGACATCTTGGTCTACCCCTCACCCCTACAGATAGATCACGCTCCCATTAGGGGTGGCTTGAGAAACAGTGGCCTGTCGGATAAAATCCATCATCTTGGTAATGACATACAAAACCCTCTGATCTGGTGACTGCTTACTTCTTTCTCCACCCACAGTCCATCCTCTCCACCACCACTATCCTGCCTCCCATGTATCAGCCACACCAGACAACAGTCAACTTTTGGTTTACAGGGGAAATGTTAATTTTAATATTTATTGAGCCCTTACTGCATTCCAGACACTGTTGTGCACTTTATATGTATTATTTAATCTTGTGATGGTACTTTGAAGAACATTATAATCTTCATTTTGCAAATGAAGAAACAGACCAGGAGAAGTTAAGTGACTTGCCCAAAGTCAGACAGGTAGCGTTGTACTGGGAATAGGTCACAGAAAACTCTTAAATATAGTAAAACTAGTAAACATGTTAATACAAAAGGGATCCAATGTAGACTAATATAGTTAAAAACACAACCAGCCTTTAGCCCAGCCAGCATGGCTCAGTGGTTGAAGGTTAACCTATGAACCCGGGGGTCACAGTTTGATTCCCAGTCAGGGCCCATGCCCTGGTTGTGGGCTCGATCCCTAGTGCAGGGAGGTGTGCAGGAGGCAGCCCATCAATGATTCTCTCTCATCATTGATATTTCTCTCTCTCTCTTCTTGAGATCAATAAAAATATTTTTAAATAAATAAAAATCACAACCAAGTTTTAGATAATAGATATATAAAAGCAATGGAAGTGTAAAAGTTTAGGAGCACTTGACTTTATACAATTACATTTCACTGCCTCCACTTGTCCAAACTACCTTTCCTAAGGACACTGGTGCTCTTGTAAAAGCCCCTGAACATGTTTTAGCCCTTTAAGCGGTTATTCCCTATGAAGGCAATTCAAGGGCAGGGGGAGGGCGGGGGGGGCGGGGGGGAAAGTCGAAACAAACTTGTTTGTATGGGGGCAAGAATTCTCAGGGCGAAGGAGAGGCAGACCCGAGATATTTTGCAGCCCATACCTGCTTTTCTCTTTTCCTGAGTTTCTATCTTCTTTCCATACTTTTGCCTATATTCTCCTGGTTAGGAATCCCATTTTACCTTTCCACCTTTAACCCTTTTTTATTTTTTACTTTACAACTGAAGTGTTATGTGGATTTTAAGTGCTTAAATTAAAGATAAGTTATCAAAAGTAAACATTAAGCACCCCGGGTCAAGAAATATAACATTTCCAGCCCCAGAAGGCCTTCTCATGGCAGGTCTCATCTCTGCCTACAGATAATGCTGAACAATTTTTCAGTATTGTATCAACTTGTGCTCTCACCAGAAGTTTATGAGAGTACCCATTGCCCCACATTTTTGCCATCTTGGCATTGTCAGTCTTTTAATTTTAACCATTCTGGAGAGTAGTATATAAACCAGGAGGTTTTACCTCCTGGTTTGAATCTGCATTTCCCTGATGCAAATTAAAGTGAAGTGAAAGACCTCCCCCTAGTGGTAAGATCTGAATTACCTGAGAGATTTTTTTTTTTCACAGCATATAGTCTCCCACTGTACCTCGGCCGCCTCCACCTCTTTTCCTCCCCCGAGTCTCCAAGAATAAAAATTTGACCATCTTTCATAAACTTATTGTCCATTGAATATCCTCTGTTATGCAGTGTCCTTTAACTCCTTGCTCATGTTTCTATTGAGTTTTTATATTAACTTGTAAAACTTCTTTAAATCTTGACACAAACTCTCTGCTAGTTACACGTGTTGTTGCACATACCTTTTCCACCTTTAACTTTAAAATCAACTCATTTTCTAAAATACCAACGGCATATTTCACAGACCTAGAATGAACTTTCCAAAAATTCATCTGGAATAAAAAAAAAAAAAAGACCCCCGAATAGCTACAGCAACCCTGAGAAAGAAGAACAAAGTAGGTGGGATCTCAATACCAGATATGAAGCTGTATTACAAAGCCACTGTTCTCAAAACAGCCTGGTACTGGCACAAGAACAGATATATAGTCAATGGAATAGAATAGAGAACCCAGAAATCGACCCAAACCACTATGCTCAATTAATATTCGACAAAGAAGGCATGAACGTACAATGGAGTCAAGACAGTCCCTTCAATAAATGGTGCTGGGAAAATTGGACAGATACATGCAAAAAAATGAAACTAGACCACCAACTTACACCATACACAAAAATAAACTCAAAATGGATAAAGGACTTAAACATAAGATGAGAAACCATAAAAATACTAGAGAAATCCACAGGCAGCAAAATCTCAGACATATGCCAAAGCAATTTCTTCACTGATATTGCTCCTAGAGCAATGGAAACTAAAGAGAAAATAAACAAATGGGACTACATCAAAATAAAAAGCTTTTGCACAGCAAAAGAAACCATCAACAAAACAACAAGAGAGCCCACTGCATGGGAGAACATATTTGCTAATGTTATCACTGATAAGGGTTTAATCTCCAACATTTTACAGGGAACTCATACAACTTAACAAAAGGAGGATAAACAACCCAATCAAAAAATGGGCCACGGACCTAAATATATACTTTTTGAAAGAAGACAGAAGGAAGGCCAAGAGACATATGAAAACATGCTCAAAGTCACTAATCATCCAAGAGATACTGCCGTAGACCAATTCCAACATGTCATAATTTAAAGAGTTTCATCAAAAGGTTGATGAGACTTGGGGACTCAACAGGACTGAGTCACACATGTAGTCACCTGTTGGGAATGGCTAAAGGCATTTCCCCAAACCTGAATAGGAAACTGATTGTGGCTGCCAGACAGTTAAAGGGCATCTTAATCTACATGTTATTGCCTCCTACTGGCCAAACACCTGAACAGCTGTAGGCTATTCCCCAAACTGACAATGCTTCTGTACCCTTTGAAACCTTAACCTTTGAAGTGTATTATCTCCACCTTGCCTTAGGACAAATTGTGTTAATAAAAGCAAGGGTCCTAGACAAGGAGGGAGTCTTCAGTTCCTTTAGCTGAAGGTCCTCTGACCCCCAATGCCTTTCAAAATTATATCTCATCTCCGGATTCTTTATTAGTCTCTGGATTCCTATGTCATCTACACTCAGCCCCTTTTCCAGATTCCTGAACCCTTCTTGATGCTGGGACATGAACCCCGGCAAGATACAAATCAAAATAACAATGCGATACCATCTCACACCTGTCAGAATGGCTATCATCAACAAATCAACAAACGACAGGTGCTGGCAAGGATGCGGAGAAAAAGGAACCCTCTTGCGCTGCTGGCGGGAATGCAGACTGGTGCAGCCACTGTGGAGAACAGTATGTAGCTTCCTCAAAAAACTAAAAATGGAACTCCCCCCCAGTGGTCCCACTTCTAGGAATATATCCCAAGAAACTAGAAACACCAATCAGAAAGGATATATGCACCCCTATGTTCATAGAAGCACAATTTACAATAGCTAAGATTTGGAA